CTGAGCGCGGCGCCTTTGATAGCGTGGATGGTTCGGAGCATCGCCACCGTGAGCAGCTGGCGGTTGTTGAAGCCACTCTTGAGCGGCATCTTGGCCGCCATTTGGAAGATGTAAAGTCTTTACGTTCGTCTCTTATCTCGGAGTTAGATCGTATAGTTGGTGGCGCAAGGGAGAGTGAAGTACTCGTGAAACGACTTGGTATTGAAATGGTTGAGAAAAGGGCGGAAACACCGCTTTTGGAGGCGGGGCCCCATGTTCCGTCGGACTCTCCTATTCTACATGGGCAGAGCGAACGTTTGAATATGGACAGGCCCGTACTGAAACGTGGTTCTGCCGGTTTTGAGGATCACCCTTCGCTGTTGAGTGAAGTTTCGGAGCTGCGCAGGCGTTGTTGTTTGATGGAGCAGGAGGCAGCTTCTGCTGCTGAACGGCTTCGCGAGAAGTCCGCTGTGGTAGTCAAACTCGGTCAAGAGTTGGGCGAGGCGAGGTCGAAGCTGGCGAGCAGTAAAGACTCGGCTGCTGCTTCTGCAACAGGGGGGAAAACAGGAGTAGACGAGTCGGTGCGATGCATACGTGATGTGGTGCGGGCGGAACTTAAGAGCGTAGCGCGTCGCACTGTAGGGGTGGGTGAGGCGGGCCAGGTGCTTAGTGGTCTTGCATGTAAACTACGCGATGTGATTTCGCACACTGCCGCTGTTTCTGCGCAAGTGACTGAACGTCACGGTCAGCTGGCAGAACTTATCCGTGTGTCCAACCTTAAGCAGAGCGTAGCGCTCCGTAAGATACACTACTGCCTGTCAGATTCGTCCTCCCTGCAGTGGACCGATGCCGCCATTCTTGAGTCGTGCCTGCTGCTGTTCACTGACGTCGGCGGTGCGCTGGTGGCCGCTGTGGGTCCAGGAACAGAGTGCACCGTGAATCGCGCGCCCATGACAGTAGTGGGGGATGAGTGTGATGCACAGGTACAGCACACTCTTCACCGAGCGCAGCGTCGTGTGAACGATGACTGCTCACCGCCACGTAGCGACAACAAGCCTCGCGACCATCATCATCATCAGCAGCAGCAGCAGTCCATGCGAGAGGCCGCGACAACACCTATGAAGTTGTCTGGCGTCCCACTGTCCTTTAAGTCACCTTTGAACTGTGGCAGCAGCAAGCCGATCTCTGCCTCCGCTTCCCCGGTTGGGCGCCGTATCGTGGTACCACCGAGAGCGACACCACCATCGTCACCGCCGCCACCACCGAGGGTGCACCCAGCGTTGCCGGATCACTTTGCTAGAAGCGGCGGTGATTTCGGCGTTGATGACGCGTTCAGGTACGCGGTGGCTGCACTGTCAGCCCAGGAGAGACGGTACGATCAGCAGCACCCACATCAAGTGAAACGGTGGGTGGCGCCTGGGAAGGCGCACCACGGTGCACGTCAGGGTGTGCGTGATTGATCAGGGGCGAGAAGCGGATGTAACGCTGCAGTTTCTCCTTTGTCTAATGCGCTGTTCATAGTGTTTGTTGGCTTTTTTTTTTGTGTGTGCTTCAAGACAAATACTTTTGTGTGGATTGTGTGAAGTGGAATCTTTTCACCGTTATTTCCTATCGTTGCAACACGATGGCGTGCTCTTCTGTATGCGGTGTTTTGCATCTGTGGCAGGCATTGAGGGAAGGAAGGAGCCGTGGCCGCACAACAGCAGCGGCAGCATGTCGGCCCTTTTGCCGAAGGAGGCGGTGGCGCTACTGTACCGGCGCTATCTAAAGGCCGCCAACCGTATCCCAAACGTCACCATCCGCATGCTGCTGCTGCAGCAGATCCGCTCCGGCTTCAGGCGCAATCAAGGCGTCACAAGCCCCTCCGCGCAGCGCGAACTCGTCAGCCAGGCGCACAAGGACCTACAGGTGCTCGAGGATGACCGTCTCTCGCGCACACTGTACATCAACCGGCTTGGCCTCGTCTCCTGCCTTGATTGGGAGGTGCGCCGAACGGAGTACAACTTCACCCCCGAGACTCAGTACTTCCTCTCCGCGTTTCTCTTCCTCGGCTTTCTCTTCATCGCTGTGGTGGTGACGAGCGCGAAGCCGGTTGAGGTGCGGCATCCTGAGCTAAGCAAGATGGTGGGTGGGATGGCGATGCGGCTCGAGGCCGACTCGCCGGATGAGCTGCGTGCGTTGCGCGAGCGGCAGCTGCGCTCCAGCCTGGAGCAGCAGCAGCACCGGCTGTCGCTGGAGCAGCGCGTCCTCGCGACGTTTCACGAGGCACCTAACGTGAAGGTGTCGGCGCCGTCGTTGCGCAACCCCGACGGGGTGGTGCGCTACGGGGACTGACGCGGCGGCGTGGTGTGGTGCGTAGTAGCGTTGAGAGCCGCGGCCCCGGTGGTGGGGACCCGGTCTCTGATTTTACTTGCTCCTGCTTTTTTTTCGTGTGTGGCTGTTATCCGAAGGGGGGGCACCGATGCTCCATTTTGGCAGTGCGCACTTCCACTCTCCTCCTTCTCCCTCTTTTTTTTTTTATTTTTGTTTGTTTGTTTCCACCCTCGTTGTGGTGCGCAACTCTAAGAGTTCACTGGTAGTGAAGAAGAAGCACGTGCTGAGGGGCCCCGTCGCGCGTTGGGGATGGACTTCGGGTACGACGAGCACGGCAACCGGCTGCAGTTCGAGGACAGCGGCAGCGGCAGCAGCAATAGCAGTGACGATGGCGACCACGAGGTGGCCACTGTAAGTGACGATGACGATCGCGTGCAGCGGCGTGCGGGGAGTGACAACAGCGATGATGATGATGATGATGACTCTCTCAACCAGCAGCCACGCAACGGCAACGACTCGAGTAGCGACTTCAGTGATGACGTCGAGCTCGTCATTGGCGAAACGGCGAACCAGGATATCAATGAGCCGCTTGTCGACAGCAAAGACATCATCGCTGACCGCCGCACCGACACGACACGTGGGAAGTTCCTGGTGGAGGATCGACGCGTGCCCTCGCTTCTCATCCACGATGTGGGCGGCCCGCCAACGTCGGAGCGCGGCTTCCTAGATCTTGTGCGCGGCATCCCGGCGCGGCAACGCAACGTGGCGCTCATTGGCCACCTGCACCATGGCAAGACGTCACTCCTCACGCTACTACTCGGCGGCCGGTCGTACCGCCAGCGTGAGGATGAGGTGGGGCGCGGCATCTCCGTGAAGAGCAGTCTCGTGACAGAGCTGGTGTCGGGCGCGTACTTCCAACAAGCTTCGCACCTCGTCAGTTTCGTCGACACACCGGGGCACCCCGACTTCGCAGCAGAAACAGCGGCCGCGCTGCGTCTGGTGGACGCGGCGATTCTGTGCGTGGACGCGGTGGAGTCGCTTACCCGTGACGGGGGGCGGCTTCTGCGGCAGGCGGTTCTGCAGGAGCAGATCCCCGTCATTCTCGTCATCACGAAGATTGATCGCCTCATCATGGACCTGAAGTTGCCACCGCTCGACGCCTACCGCAAGCTGCGCATGGTGGTGGATGCCGTTAACAACGAGATCGCCAGCTTTGGCTCGCCATTCCTCGTTTCGCCGCTAAACGGCACCGTATGTTTCGCATCATCTAAGCTGGGCTGCTTCTTCACGACGGAGACGTTTGCGGTGAAGTATAGCCGCGAGTACCCTACTGTCGACTCGGCGGCCTTGTCGCAGCGGTTATGGGGGCAGTTTGCTTTCGAATCGGGTCGTTTTGTGAACATCACGAACTTCCGCCAGCGACCCGCGTTCGTCACGTTTATCCTCGAGCCACTGTACAAGATCGTTGCCCACGCGCTGACCGGCAAAGGGCACGAGACACTCTGCAGCCAACTGCACCCGCAACCACGCGATCCTGTCACCGCGGCGCGTGAAGCAATGCGAGTCTTCTGTGGCGACGCTGCAAAGGAGGGCACCGACGCGCTCCTCAACGTGCTGCCGCAACCGGAGAAACACTCTGCATGGCTGCAGACGCAGTACCGCCTTAAAATTGATGTGGAGGACTTGGTTGTCGCGGTTGCGCCACTACTACGAACGCAGAACAATGGCGAGGACAATTTCGCCGTTGTGCGCGTGTTGCATGGTGTGCTGAGGCGCGGTATGAAACTGGTGGTTGTGGATGAGCACTCCAGCGATGCTGAGCCGTTCTACACCTTTGCGGTGAATGAGATTCTACTTAAGATGGTGGATGGGTTTGTGGACGTCGGCTCTGCAAACGCTGGCCAGGTGGTTCTTATCACTGGCTTCGGCACGCGGCCAGGAAGTCATCTCGTACTGGTAGGCGGTGCTGCAGCTGCCCCTCTTCTTATGGGGGAGGAAGAGTATGCCGTAGCGGAAGATAGCGGCGGTGAGTCGTCTGCCTGGCTGGATGAGGTGCGGGTGTGTCCCCTTAAGTGTGGGGAGCCAATGGTACATGTTGGGGTGGAGCTGAAAGACCCTGCGAAGAGCGCTCAGCTGCAGCGCGGCCTGCAGATTCTCGTACGCACCACCCCCGGCCTCGATGCCCACAAGGAGGAGACAGGGGAGTTTACCCTCACCGGATACGGTGAGCTGCACCTCGACACCGCTTTGCACGAGCTGCGATGCGGACTCTGCAAAGGAGTTAAGATTGGCATTTCGCAGCCGTTCGTATCATTCTCGGAGACAGTGCTGGAGAAAGAAGGCGTGCTCGCCGTCACTGGGTCTCGACGGGCACAGATTGGCTGCACGAGCGCCGCCATGCACCGCCAGCTAACAGAGGTAGTTGAGTACGAGCAGCTTGACCTCTTCCCCTCCGACCCGAGCCGTGTCGTGAAAGTGTGGACGGCGCTGCGTCAGTACGACATGGATGCGCTTGACGCGCAGCACGTCGTGGCGACCGGACCACACGCGACGAAGGGACCGAGCCTGCTCATCAACGACACGCTCCCGGAGGAGGAGGAGGAGCTGGTGCCGCTCACGCATGAGCGGCTGCAGGCGATAACAGCGGGCTTTCGCTCCGCCGTGGCGGCCGGGCCGCTGACGGGTGACGTTGTGCGCGGCGCGGCGGTGCGGCTCATCTTCGCTGATGTGGCACACGAGACGAAAGACGCGGCGGTTCTCGCGGCCGCCCGCTCAGCGGTGAAGCAGGCGCTTCTTGGCGCGCAGCCACGCCTCCTCGAGCCGGTGCTCGGTGTCGACATCACGTGTCCGCCGGAGTCTATCGCGACACTAACGGAAATCCTTCAGGCGCGGCGCGGCAGCGTTGTCGCGGAGGAGCCGGTCGCCGCCACGACGCTGATGCGTGTGCGGGCGCTGGTTCCAGCGATGGACAGCTTCGGCCTCGAGACGCAGCTGCGCATGCTCACACAGGGCGAGACGTTCCCGCTCTTCACCTTCGACCGCTGGGACCTTGTGCCAGGCGACCCGTTCGACGCGACCATCCACGTCGGTCCGCTCCAGCCGGCGCGCGGCTACCAGCTGGCGCGCGACTTTACGCTCAAGACGCGCTTCCGCAAAGGCCTGCCGCCGCTCCTCGCGGAGTTTCAGGTGTGACGTCGCCCGCATTAAAGGTTTGATCGTGTGGCGGCATCTATAATCAAAGACAAAGCCTCCCCCTTTTTTTTTTTTTAAAGAGAGACACAGATGTACGGAGACACGTGCAGAGGTATGCATATGTGTCAGACTACACCTTCTCTTGTTTTTCTCCTTTTGCTTTACTTTTATTCTTTGCGCTCTCTAGAAGGACTGCTGCGTGGGGATATAGGCAGAAGATGGCGCCGACAAAGTATGACTGGTGTGGATTTGGTCAAAACAGCAGAACCGTCATTGATGAGCAGAGGCGCTGTTCCCTACCGCTGCTGTGGTGACTGATGCTGTCGCATCGATGCCGAGTTGTTGTTACGGGATTACTTGATTGCCACACGATCTATTATCGTGTTAACGTGGCGGGATTTCCATCTCCTGTTGAAGTCTGCCTACACGCTGCAGGGTCAGGTATGGGAAAGACGTAGAGGCGATGCATCACCACTATTCAACTGCTGCTACGCAGTGCGGTGGCCCAGACCGCTACCGTTGCTAATGCGCAGTCTGTTCCGGATGCGTATTTCATTTACTTGTGTCTTCTCTTTCTGTGCCTGTCTGTGTCAGTACAGGATGCCCGGCTGCAGTATCTGTGCTTGATTCCTGCTTCGGTCGGAAACAGAGGCGACAACCCTGGAGCCGCCACAAACCTCTCTGACTAATTGTCGTTGCTGCAACTCCCATATGTGCGCGCATCAACTCTCTTTCTATTTCTCTCTCTCTCTCTCTCTCTCTTCTTGTCCCACTCGCATTCCATGACTATTGTTTATTTCCCTTCGGCGAAAGGGTTGGCACATCTCCCATCAACGACGAAAAAAGGCAGCGAGAATGAGTCGGGATCTGGCGAAGGAGGTGGACCAGGCGCTGCAGCAGGACAGGTACGACATCAACCTCTTTGTCCGTTTCTTTAAGAGCCACGTCATGGCGGGCACGCAGCCAGACAAGCGTCTCCTGCTCGGCATCCTGGTGCAGGCGCTGCCGCGCTTCCACACTAGCGACTTCTCCGCCTGCATCTCCCTCGTGCAGAGCCACGTGCAGGATGCGCCGTACATCGAGAAAGAGCTTGGCATGATCTACGATCTCGAGAACTACCTCAGCTGCGGCCGCTTTGCGCAGTTCTGGGAGGTGTGGGCCGCGTCGAAGAGTCTGCTCCCCGCCTCGCCAAGCTTTGAGCCGCAGATGCGCGCCGGTATCCTGACGGTGGTGTGCAGTACGCTGGAGCGTGTGCCGGTGGCGAAGATGGCGGTGTACCTCGGCGTCGCGCCGGCGCAGCTGCAGGCGGCCCTCAAGGATGCTGCGCACCTCGCCGGCGACAGCGCCAACTTGGTTGCGTGCGACAGCGACACGGTGACGTTCGCCAAGACAATGTTCAACGCGCCGGAGAGTGACTCGAACCAGCAGCCGCTACGGTTCGCCGACATCGCGTCGATTGTCTCGTAGGATGACAGGGCTGTGAATGAGAGTGGTTTCTCAGTAAGAAAACTGCATTTTAAAAGTTATTCTAAACGGCATTGCTGCTGCTGATCTTTTCCTTGCGCGCGCGGTGCGCTGTCACTTCTCCCTTGTCACGCGTCTGTGGTGACTTGCGGAGTGGCGGCAGCGCGCCGTCTTCTTCACTCGCGCTGCTGCTTTTTTTTTTTGTTGTGTCTCTCATGCCCCTTGTCATTCTTCTTTTTTT